TTGTCGGCAATACTATCTGCCTACACTACCAGCTGCTACGGCTGTCAGGGTCTCCGTTGAGGACCTAGGCAGAGCGGGACAGATGAGTTGCGTTAACGGTCGGATGAGCATTCATCAATGATAAATATTCTTATTTGACTGGTAACCCACGTGTCCTTTGCGTCACCTCGACGCGAATATGGTGCAGTATCCTGCCTATGGACTTTTTAGACCATCTCAGAAAACTAACAGTGGTACTGACTGTTCTTGTTCTTCATGTCTTCCATCTTATTTTACTCCATTCTCACTTACTCCCATACTTACTTAAACTGCAAATTTTCCTCACAAAAGTCCATAATGCCAGTTATTGCATTTTTCGTTTTATTTGTCGAAGTTGTGATTCGTCGATGTTAACTTTATCATGCTCTCCCCAACAAAAGTCTATGCGGCGGAGAAAAACACAGCTGTGGTTGAAATAATGCCCTCAAAGTAGAACCAAAAAACAAACTACCGGTTCCAGGATTTCTCTGAAAAACGGTCGTTCAATCTTCAGTAATACTCGGGATATAGGGTAACTTCCGTTGAAAAAAAACAAAATGAGACTGAAGTTATCTCTCTTCAAGCGACTTGGTTGTATAGCGTCACTAAATCGCAAATAATTGCACCTCCATTTTTGCTGTTTTCGTATTGACCAAAAGTCTCTATTGAGCAGTAGAGGTGGCGAAGTGGCTGTTTTTGTAAACTAGCAATGGTGCATGAACTGTAATTCTTTATTTACTTACTTGGATGCATTAATAAACGCTATTGCTGTTGTCTCCAAGCCCAGACTTTTAAGAATTGTTAAAGTATTATTAATGTTAGTATCTACATCCCCTCCTCTACATGCGAAGGTACTTCAATCCGCATTTTTGAATTTCTTCCCCTTAAACTTGCTGTACTGTCTTGCAAGCATCCTATTATTTTAAGTTGTGATTTTAACTATTTGAACCTACGTTTCTTTACACTGATACGATATAATGACCTGTTTTCCTTTAATATTCGCGCAGATGCTCCTCTTTATCACATTCTGATCAACTACCTCACGCTTTTTGCTGCCACAATTAAGCTCTGTTGTCAGGATCAGGCCATCATGTGTTACTAGGCCTCCTAACTGTATATTTTTAAGTCTTAGCAAACACTATGAGCAAAACACTATGAGCAAACACTATGACAAAACTC